ATTTTCTAATAAAGATTTGACATGAGCATTTATTTGCATTCTCTGTATTTTGTGTATTCCAAGTAAAGCTCCGAGGGCAAGAATGGTGGCTGTGCCGTTTAAATAGTACTGTACATTGGCATTGTTACTCTACACGCTCTCCGATCAGTTGTGTTCCTGGTCGCCAGGTACTTTCTTTCGGCTTGCTTGAAACGTCCATCCAAATCTTGAACATCCCATTGCTATATGCCTCAATAGACTAGACAGGCACTCTACCCCGAGTCATTGTCCGTTCCCCAACGCCGTTCAGCCTCTCCAACCCGAGAAAAGAAAAGTAGAAAGCAAGCACCTGAATCCCACCACCACCACCCGCAACTCTCAAACTCCCCTCTGCCTGCCCCCCCCGTGCGCCTCATTTTCATGCACGACCCGCTCGCTCTCTCCTTTACCCTCGCGCGCCCCCCCCGAGTCACCCTACAAGCTACATACCGTCACGATATCCCCTCCCCCCGTGCGCCCCGAAACTTCTTTTTTCACTATCCACAGGGTGTGGTTTGTCTCAGTCCTAGTCAAGCAAAAAGAAAGAGAAGGGGGGTGTTGGTGTGGGGTTGGGGTTTGGGGAGTTGAGGGTCTATGCTCATGCACTAGGACTTGACCTTTGCTGTGTAGATCTGTCTGCTTTGCAATTGATTTTGGGGCGTTTTAGGGTTCGTTGATACCTGGCCGGGGGTGTGGTCGTGTGCTCGGGGGCTAATGGCTGGATGGGTGGATGCAGTGGTAACTTACCCTAGCTTTTGTGGTTTGTGTAAGAGGTACGTGACTTAGCACTGTCATCTTGTTGCAGTGGATGGTGGATGGCACAACCGGCTGGATGCTAGGCATTTGGTATGGTATGTACATGCTTGTGCGAAGGAGCGTTGTGTATGTTTTACGTGGGTAGTTGGGTTTGAGTCTGAGGCTGGCTTGATTCATCTGGGACTGCCTGGGTGGGTGCAGTGGGTGAGTGGGTTAGTAGCGGTGGCGGTTTGCTGAGTTGTTGTGTGGAATTTTCTGGGGGGTGGGGGTGGGAAGCATTGTTTGGAGGATTGGATTCTACGAGGTGGACGGTGTTTATGTGTGCTGGGCTTTGGTACCTGCAGTGGAGATTTCGGTAGATGTACTTTGCGTATATGAAACTCTGATGATGGAGGAGGAGGAGGAGGAGGAGGAGGAGGAG